CACCTATTCAATGGAGCCTTGGCCATTTGGTGAGTGAGTGAATGGCATGGGTTTAGGGAAAAGCTTTTTTTTTTTTCTTTAAGTCATTCACATTTTTCATCTAATCTTCTCTATCAGTATTAATATGAAGATAAAATAGAGAAACTTCTGCGTATAGTTGCTAATAAAACATATATTTGGCAGACATGTAGTTAATATCATTAAAAAATCCATACTCCTGATCCTGTGAGTTCATCCTTCTAGTGGCATTTTCTCTCCAAACCTCAAACTACACAGTTATGCTCTGTATGCATAGGCAGACCTTGCCTAAAAATTTGATACAGTGAATATGGGAAAAGCCCCTGATTTGGGTAAGCGCCATAAAGAGTTTTAACTTTAAAAAGGTATATCTAGCCCTGGCTGGGTAGCTCAGATGGTCGGAACACTGTCCAGATACACCAAGGTTGCAGGGTTAATCCCTAATCAGGACACATACAAGAATCAGCCCATAAATGCATAAATACGTGGAACAACAAATTAATGTCTCTCTCTCAAAAAAATCAATAAAAAATATTAAAATGAACAGATTTAAAACAAAACAGTATACCTAGGACAAGTTTGCCTAGGAGTGAGTAGCGAGCTAAATTTTGCATTACAAAAATCAGGGATTTGGAATAACAGACTCTTAGTTGTAGAGATAAGAGGAGGAGTAAGGGGAAGAATGTTCTGGCAAATAGTATGCACTCAAAAAATAAGTGTTGTTGTTGTCTGTGATGGTTCACTTTCCCTGTCCCAGACTGTGGTTACTCTTTGCTAACCCTGAACCTTTCATGAAAATCTGCTACACCTAATGATCTTGTCCATGGTGCTTAGAAAAACGTAAGGAGTGTTGGTTGAAGGAGATGAAAGAGAATCTAGTGACAGGAAAAATAGCAAGAGAAAGAGGCAGGTAGCAGCTGAAGCAAAGCACACTGCATGAAGATTAATCACTGATGTAGTAGTAAATGTTTAACAACTGACTCCCCAGAACAACAACAAAAGATCTGTAGCATTTGCTGATTTCTATATTGTAAATATTCCCATAATGGCAGATTTCAAATCGTGAACAATACATCACTGATTGCAGCTTGGAAGAATGCACAGAACTGGCTATGGTGAGCCCTAGCTGATTTTGCTCAGTGGATAGAGTGTCAGCCTGCGGACTGAAGGGTCCTGGGTTGGATTCTGATCAAGGGCACATGTCCGGGTTGTGGGTTTGATCCCCAGTAGGGGTTGTGCAGAAGGCAGCCAATCAGTGATTCCCTCCTTCCCTCTCCAATCAATAAAAATATATTTTTTTTTTAAAAAAAGAATTGGCTATGGTAACCCTGTACCTGCAAACTCCAGCATGCCTGCACCACCTTCCCCCACCTCCCCCACCCCATACATAACACAAATGCAACTCATTATAGGGCAGGAGAGGCAGACACGATTTGTTCATCTAAATTCCTATGTACATGGGAATAATATTTTCTATTGTTAATTTTATTTTCAGATTTAAATGTGATTGCGTATTTGGTAGTTCTTTATAAACTCTAAAGTGTGATCCAACTACCACTGATGTGGTTATCCATGACAAGGAGGAAAACGGTGGTCATGATCCTTTCCTCCAAGACATCTGAATATCAACTTTGCTTCATAGGCTTCACGTCTTTGCCAAACAGAGTGTTAATGCTCCTGACTTTGAACCATTGACAAATTTCGTTCATTCCCCCCCCCCTTTAATTGACTTTATTGGGGTGGCACTGGTTAAGAAAATTACCCAGGTTTCAGTGCACAATTCCATAACAGATCGTCTGTACATTGTATTGTGTGTTCACCACTCCAAGTCTCCGTACATCACCTTTAAACCTCCTATACCTGCCTCCAGCAATCCTCACACTAATGTCCTTTTTTTTCTTTTTTGCTCAATTCCCTCCACCCCCTACTCAGCCCAGCTGTCAGCCTTTTATGGCTGTTTCTTTTTAGTAATGTTTCTTTTTAGTAATGTTTCTTTTTAGTAATCCAATAACTTTGACTCATTCATGATTTTAAATGAAATGCTTCTAATATTTTCCCATTTAGGATGACATTGCTCCAGTGTTATAGATACAAGTGAAAGAAATTCCTTCCTTTTAATTTATTAAAAGGTTTTAAAAACTCATAAATATATGTAAAATCTAAAAAAGTATTTTTGGTACAAGTATTATAATGATCATATTTTTTTGCATGTTAATCTCTCTTATAAAGAATGATTTTAGAGAGAGTAAGGGAGAGATATAAACATCAGTGATGAAAGAGTATCATTGATCAGCTGCCTCCTGCATGTCCTACACCAGGGATTGAGCCTGCAACCCGGGAATGTGCCCAGACTGGGAATCAAACCATGATCTATTGGTTCATGAGTTGACACTCAACCACTGAACCATACTGGCTGGGCACATGTTAATCTCTTACTGTGATACATTACTTTTAAGAATTATTTAACATAAACATATTTATGTATGTTTATCATGACCCCAATTGGATGTGTCATCTTTATTATAATGTATTTTATTTGCTAAGATTTTGTATAGAATTATTTTTCATCTTTAATCTGGAGTCAAATGGGTCAGTAATTTTTCTTTTTTATGTATTTACTGAGTTAGCAGAGCTTTGTGGTACCATAGAATGAGTTTTATTGACTGGATGAATTTTTGTTAAGCTGGGCAATCTGTTCTGTTCCTTTAAAACTTGGTATAACTCATCAGTAGAGCCATGAATATGGCTTTTCTTTGTGGAAATAGTTTTAACTAGTATTTTGTTATTGAATTACTCAGGTTTATTAGTTAGATCTGATAAAATATACTTTTCTAGTAATTTATTCATTTTATTTAATTTTTGTAAAGAAAGTTTTGATAGCTTTTGGTTAATGTGTTTCTCATTATCTACTCTCTGTAGTTATGTTCACACTTAGTTTTATTTTACTATTTATTTTTTGTTGCTTTCTTGATCAATCTTACCAGAAAATTTTCACGTTGTTTTTATCAAACAACTACCTTTGGCACTGTTTAGATTTTTCTATTATATTTTTGGGGTTTATTTGTTCATTTTTATTGCCTTGATTTATGTTTTCTTTTGTTTGTTTTTTTCTGTTAGAATTTTTATATCTTCTTAACAGAAACACTTAACTCACTAATTCTGAGGCTTTCTTCTTTTCTAATGTAAGGATTTAAGTGTATGAATTCCTTTCACAACTCTTCTTTTGCTTCAGTGCCCAAATTTAGATATTTAGATTTCAAAATAACTAAACTCCTGTGTTATATTTTTCATTTTAATTTCATCTTTATTTCATGGTTATTCATCGGCATAAATCTTGTTCTTAATTTCCAGACATTCAAGAATTTTAAAAATGTATTCATTTCCTTATTAATTTTTAACTGTATCATGATCAGAAAAGACTGTGTTTTGAAATTTGTGTAGATTTATTTATTACTTAATATATGATTCATTGTTATAGCTGTCCTATGTGCCTTTGAGGAAAGTATATATTCTATAATTGTTTGATGCAGAAATCTTTACTGTTGAATATTAGTTAAACTCATCATGGTGTTTAGTTCTTCCATATGATTTTATTTTGTCTGCCTGATTTATTTACTGGTCATCACTGTAATGTTCTGTCCAGGACAGTCCAGATTTATACTTGATGTGGAGTTATTATTTAGAGCATCCATCTGCTCCCCGAGAAGGCATTTCTCTTGGAAAATTCTGTGCACTGATTGGCCAGTATGGCTGTCTGACTCTATTGCTAACCTTCCTCTCTTATGTTGACATGCTCTTTGACTGCCTTGGTGACATTCTGACTGTTACTGCTGAGTGCTGAATAAATCAGTGTCTCAGAGTTCTGTGAGCACTCCAGTTTTGTAACATGTACATTGAGAATTTCTGAACCCAACTCAAATGCGATCCTATCACTCTTCCTGATTCAATACAGCTGGGCCACTCTATCTCCCAGGTAAAGATTAGACCCAAAGCCTGCAATTTTATTAGTAGCTTTTCATTTATGTCAATGTAAATAAGATACTGACTAATACTAAAAAAGTTTTCATATATTAACCCTTACTTTTTTTTATCCTCACTCAACGATATTTTTTCCATTGATTTCTTTAGAGTCTTCTCCAAAGTCATAGGGTATGGAGTGTATAACATAGGAATTACATCAATGTTGTTGGACTTCCAAGTCCATGTTTTAGTGACGACGCTAGGTTTTAAAATTTTGCTTTTTAAATCTAATCATTGAAAACAAACTGAACGAGTTCTAGAAGTTCTGAAACTTTTAATCACATAACAAGTGCATTTTGTTCTTTCGTTAAAAAATCTATAATTAAAAATTTTATATAACATTCCATTTTAAAAATATTTTAAATAAAATAATTGCTATTATTATTCAGTAATTTGCAGATAATCTCAGAAGGAAATTTTATAGGGAGAACTATACATAATATTTTTGGAATATTAACATGTCATAGTATTACACTGCTGGAAATTCAATATCTCATAAAACAAACTGTCAAATTCCAAATTCTAAATTGTCAAATACATAGTTTTCACATACCAAAATATATTTGTATAAATAAATAGTCATTTTAGATATCATGGCTTTTAGAAAAACAACTGAAGTTACTAACCACTTAGCTTAGGGCTGGGTGTTCCGAGTGCAGGTCTGGGGTCTTTCACTAATATTTTGGAACCAGCTATGAAAAGAAATAAAAAATGTTTATAAAAGTAAATGTAATTAATAACACTTACATACACTTCCCAAAAACATGATCCCCTGTCAAATTTATTCTCTGACATATCATATAATTTTCTCCAATATGTCCTGTTCATCATAGTATGCCTGTCCCCACTCAACACTCCTGTTGTACAGCTAACAATTTCAGTAATTACCCCTCTTATATCCAGGGAAACGAGGGGAGAGATTAGTGCTGCCACATGATGGGACACTGTTTCTTATTTTAGAGGCATATCTATTTTGGATGCAGTTGATTCCAACGTAAAAGCTGAAGGCTGAGTGTATGTTCCTGTTGCATAAAGGCAGAAATCATTTGTTTAAAAATAATAAAAACAATGTTGAGATAGTACATAGAGTCATAAGGAATCGGGGAGGCTCAATGGAGAAAACTTAAAACTAGAGCTTGAAATCACACCACAGGTAGCCCATAAACCAAAGAAATCCTGTGTGGAGCTGGATGTGCCTGGAAAGCTCTAAGAATGATGAAAGGCCGTGCTTGCAGGCCACATAAAGGCTTAGAGTTTTATCCTAAGGACAATGTAATGTCTTTAAAAGGTTTGAGTGGGAAGTTACTTGGTTGAACATCACTCTAGCTGAAAGATGGAGAACAATTTGGAAAGAAGTGGATATAGACATGGGCAGGGAAGTTAGAAGGCTGTAGCGATGGTCCCAGTAGAACTAATCTTCAGTGAGACTACTGCAGTAGTGATGATAAAACAGAAAATCAGATAAATTAAAAAAAACTATTGAAATACTGGTGGATTTAAAGGGATAAGAAGGTGTCAAAGCTGACTACTAGATGTCTATATACTATATGACGATAGTACCACTAAGACAGAGAATACCAAATGAAGACTTTGGTGAAAAAAATTTATGGGTTCAGATGTGCATATATTGAGTATTGAAATGTCTCTGACGAATTCAAGAAGAAACATCAAGTAAGCAAGTGAACATAAATTCTGAAGCAAAGAGAATAAACATAAGCTATAAACATTAATCTGCAAATAATCTCCTTAAAGGAGACTGTTGAAGCCATTAGCTTAAATGACTTTATCTAGGGAGAGAATATAGAGTAAAACAAAGAGATGGCTAAGAACCAAGCCTTTAGAAAATCATGGGTACACAATACTACAGAAAATGGAGAATAGATAGCCAGAATTATGGGGGAATAACATATTTATTTACTCAAATATTATTTAACACCTCCACATGCAAGGAACTGATCTAGATGTTAAAATCACAGTTGTAAAAAGTAAAGTTTATGTTTTTATTGAAATTAAATTCTAGTTGGGGAGGAGCAGATGAAAGGGCAAAGAGCGAAGAAAGACAATGACAAGTAAACAAATAAAATAATATGATCTCACACTGTAGAGATTTCTACCATAAAAATTAAATAAAAAACAGTAATGTTCTAGCTAAAAGAAGAGAGAAAAAACATTTCAAGAAGGATAAAGCCATTACATCTTCAAGAGATCAAGAATTAGAAGGTCTGAAGAAATGAAAGATAAAAGGAAAAGATAGTTTCTTGATAATTTTATCAAGAATTCAGAAAAAAATATTTCCTCTGCTCCTTCTTTTGGAAACATAACCCTATTCCCTCCCATAAATTCCTTACATCTTGTGTAGATGGGGACTGTCCTGAAGAAGCAGCAGGAGCAGTTGACACTTTACCTAAAAAAGCTCAACGTACCATATCGCTCAGGCTGAGTAATGGACTTAGAAATGGACTCTGTTCAACACTGTGACAATGGAACTCCTTAATATGCTTTCATGACCAAGCTTTGGGAAAGATTCTTTCTTACCAGCGTGTGAGCCAGAAGTGTATGAGGCCAGGAAAGCTGGAAGCAATTTTTTTCACTGCGGTGGGTTGAAGCATGTATCCCCGCAATTGTATGTTCACCAGGAACCTCAGAATATGACCTTATTTGGAAATCAGGTCTTTGCTTATATAATTATTTGGGGCTCTTAAGGTGAAATGATCCCTAAAACAAATGACTGATGTCTTTATAAGAAGAAGAGAGGACATATAGGATACCTAGGACAGGCCATGTGATGAAAGCAGAAACTGAGATGAGGCAGGTCTGAACGAATGCCAAGAACAGTCAGAAGCCATCAGAAGTTTAGAAGAGGTAAGGAATGATCCTCCCTAGAGCCTGCAGAGGGCACTTGGGCCTACTGATTTTGGACTTCTAACCTCCAGAAGTGTGAGAGAATAAATTTCTAGTCTTTCAAGCCACCCAGCTTGTGGTATTTTGTTATGCTTAGCCTTATAAAACTAGCACGCCTACCATGAATAGAAAACTAGAAGAGGTAATAAGGGCAAGAACAAACACCAGAACATGGAAAAGAAGCTGTAAAGACTAGAATAATATTTTTGTGCCTCGAGGTTCAGAAGGATCTAGATCACTCCTTTCCTTAGAGTTGGCCAACAAATTTTCCTTGCTCCTAAACTAATTTAATTTATTTACTTTTTGTCTCTTTTATTGGAGGGAAGTCAAAATAGTACAATATCTTCTGTGAAAGGTTTTATGGGAAAAAAAAATTTACCTTCACAAACAGGAACTTTTCCAGTCCAGGTGTTATCAGATCTACACACCCTGTGTTCTGTTCCACCTGCTAAGAAGAAGCCAGGCTGACAGGTATAAACCAGTGTATACCCATGGGATGGAAGGTCCATTCCTACTACATTTGCATGAACAGGAGTTTCCGGCTGCTTACAGCTGTGGGCTATGTTAAAAAAAAAAGAGAAAAATGTTCGTTTTTATAGACATGTTAAGAAAATTTTGAGACTGGAGTCATGATATATTTTTAAAGGCATGTCAATGCCTTTATATAAATAGTGTTTAAAATAATTACTTAATGAATCAAAGGAAATACATAAATGTAAATATACATTCTGATTTTATAGACTAGCATTTCCTAAACAATCTTCTGATAAACATTATGTTAATAGGTAAATGGAGGGGGGAAAAGACTGTGGATAATTAAGCTCATAAATGTATACTACATCATCATTTTAGAGTCACAATGCACATTAACATTTTAAAGGTCACATGGTAAAATACTTCTTAAAGTTCCTCAAACTCAAATTTTCTATGCCAGTTTAGAAAATATTATTTTATAATTTCTAAAATGTATTACATTTACTTTAAATTATAAAACATTTTTTTCTAAAGTTAAATCCAATTACAGCAGTGGTTCTCAACCTGTGGGTTGCGACCCCTTTGGCGGTAGAACGACCCTAAGACCATCCTACATATCAGATATTTACATTATGATTCATAACAGTAGCAATATTACAGTTATGACGTAGCAACGAAAATAATTTTATGGTTGGGTCACAACATGAGGAACTGTATTTAAAGGGCCAGAAGGTTGAGAACCACTGAACTACAGCTTTTTATATCATTCTGATATTACTAATTCCTAATATAGAAAGTAAAATTTAACATTTTTTCTACCTATGAACTTTTCTGGTCATATTTTTGACTTATATGCTAGTAGTATTTTTTCAATCATTTAATTTTTTATTTCCCTTTTTCATTTCCTCTCACTCCTAATTCTCTACCTTGATTCCACTCTACCTAAACTTATGGCACTTCTTGGCCCTGACCCCCAGTTCACCTGTTTTGTGTATTTTAAAGACCATGTGTTTCTCAATCAGAAATAGATGCTGCAAGAACTTTTTCCCTAAATAAGACACAATTTCTGATCATTTGTTCATGGATAAAAATTCATAAAAGATGGTCACTGAGAAAAGTATTCTGTGGACAAATTTGTTTGGAAAATAAATTTCTCAATGGAGACTTACAGAACTATAAATAACATTTTTAACACTGTGATAAACATTGTATTACATGGTTTATATTTAATTCAATTCAGTTAATGAAATTTAACCCTCATGGGGGAATATTGCTAAGGATAAACACAAAGTCTGTCTCTGCTACATTCTTAATTCCCACATTAAGCACATATTAAAATTCTGAGGTGCTTTTCAGTAACAGAAGCTGTTTATCTTCATTTAAATCATCATGTTCTAAATGTAGATCATCAGAGAATCTTGATTTACTATGAACTACCTAGCCACGTTCCAAACAGCTGTTCTAACGTACACACTGAGGAATTCTCTTTTAAGAGATTTTCCCATATTTAAATATAAACCAAGCGGGCATATGACATGACTCAGTGTACTGTTTGGGTGCGTTTCAGCAAGCTTCAGGTCCGCAGGGGCTCCCGCGATCATTAGAGTGGCTAAGAACAGGGCTGGAGTACATTTGTAGGTCTTTATTTAACTTCAGCAAATCCTAAACCTTCTATACCATTCTCCTCCCTCTTACTCTTTATTCTGTCCCCCAAGAGGATCAGAATGTATAAAGATGGAGGAGGAGATAAGAAAGAGGAGATGGGCGGGAAAGAAGAGATAAATAACTCACCAGCTAAAATTTATTTCTGTTGGTCAGAAAAGATGGTTTAGTGACCGTGAACTTCATTCAAATTTAATTTGTACGCAAGCGTTCTCAATTTAGGGTCAGTGCATATTTACCAGCTCTAGGAAATCTTGAAGTAATATTGAAATTCTTGGTCAAGGTGTACATGCATGTTTCCTTAGATGGGTTTTTCTAGCATTCCTCAGATGCTCAGAGAGTTTCACAAGTGATAAGATTTAGAGTCACTATGCAGGAGCCTCCTGTATCTGAGTATTTCAGATTCATAGTGTAGATCTATAAACCTAAAGACTAATCATTATCTAAAACTACCAGGTGACTAAACTGAACACAATTACAAGAACTCTTAAAGAAGAATAAAATTGTGCCTTATGCCTTCTGCCTTCTTTAGAAAGAATGCTTCCCAATGGACATAGGGTTATGATATAGTAATAAACTTATATACATGGATTAAGATTTATAATAGTCTAAAACATCAATGTGATGCATCTGTGGTATGGATATATGTTTATTTTCACCATTAGAAGGAAAATGCATATAAGTACATTTGTAGGTCTTTATTTAACTTCAGCAAATCCTAAACCTTCTATACCATTCTCCTCCCTCTTACTCTTTATTCTTTCCCCCAAGAGGATCAGAATGTATAAAGATGGAGGAGGAGATAAGAAAGAGGAGATGGGCGGGAAAGAAGAGATAAATAACTCACCAGCTAAAATTTATTTCTGTTAGTCAGAAAAAATGGTTTAGTGACGGTGAACTTCATTCAAATTTAATTTGTACAGCAAGCGTTCTCAATTTAGGGTCAGTGTATATTTACCAGCTCCAGGAAATCCTGAAGTAATATTCAAATTCTTGGTCAAGGTTTACATGCATGTTTCCTTAGATGGGTTTTTCTAGCATTCCTCAGATGCTCAGAGAGTTTCACAAGTGATAAGATTTAGAGTCACTATGCAGGAGCCTCCTGTATCTGAGTATTTCAGATTCATAGTATAGATCTATAAACCTAAAGACTAATCATTATCTAAAATTACCA